CATGCTTTAATTGCAGGAAAGCACAGGCAAAATAATGACTATGAACGTGTCCGAAAAAAATAGCTGGAGATATTTTTATTATTAAAACTAGTTTTTTCTCAGTCAGTGTGTGGACTGCAAAGATGAAGCTGACGATGTTGAATCGCCATCTCTGCAGTAGGCCTACAGTGGACGTGCCTTCAGAGAGATACACCTTTCATACGGATTACATAATCAGAAAGTATTTGTTTTCGATTTGATCATACAGCCTGTACGCTGTTTTGTTTCACTTTTGTGACGCGCTCCAGTCGGAGACTGAGACAGCAGAAAGCACATCCTGTTTGTTATCTTACATTTTACAAAAACACAACATTTTGTTGATATTTTCAGTTTATTACTCTTAACTGCATGAACAAAAATGACGCCGTATTGTAAGTTGCTTCAGGAAAAAAATTCTATCATGCTGGAGTCTCCATGTTCTGTTTTAAAGGGTTGCATGTGATGCGTGTGATGATGCTGACGAGCTGACCTGGTTCGTGGTACTCTCGTGAATGACGGCGGAGACTGACCCGGAAGATTATTATTGTTATTTTTGTTTTCTTTGTGCACAAAATGTATTCTTGTAGCTTCATAAAATTAGGTTGAACCACTGATGTCACATGGACTATTTTAACGATGTCCTTACTACCTTTCTGGGCCATAAAACATTTCAGTTGCTTTGCTGTCTATGCAGGGTCACAAAGCTCTCGGATTTCATCAAAAATATTTTACTTTATGTTCTGAAGATGAACGAAGGTCTTACGGGTTTGGAACGACATGAGGGGGAGTAATTAATGACAGAATTTTCATTTTTGGGTGAACTATCGTTAAAGGGTTAGTTCACACAAAAATGAAAATTAAGACTGTGTTTTACTCACCCTCGAAGCATCCTAGGTGTATATGACTTTCTTCTTTCAGACGAATCCAGTCGGAGTTATATAAAAAATTGCCCTGGCTATTCCAAGCTCTATCATTGCAGTCAGCGGGTGTTGCAGTTGAACAGTCCACAAGTCGTCAAATAAAGCGCACGCATTCATAATAATGCCTCACACCCCTCCGGGGAGCGAATCCATGTGTTTTTGTAAGAAAAATATTCATATTTCAAACCTAATAACCACTTTTCTCTCACTTCCGTTATCTGTCATACGTGGAAGATGTTCTGGTGGATCAAACAGTTCACTTAAGCGCACTTTGGCTTCCACAAGCACTTAGATATGCGCCTAACACAGTGTACATTTATCTAGGTTATACGTTTAAACTAACATTGTGATATGCTTTAACGGTTTTATATCTGGATTTTATTGAAGGCAAGTCGAGTGATTTGAAAAGGCTAAAAGGCAAACATGTGGTCAGGGCCAGTGCATGCCTAGGCAAACTAGGCAGGCGTCTAGGGTGGCATCACAGTCAGGGCGGCAAAAAGGAAACATTTGTTTTTAATTTTATTGGAAATTCATTTGGAATTATTGCACTCATATAGACAAGTTATTATCCGTTAATTATTCTAATTCTAAATGAACTTTGCTTCATAGTAGTGCCTTTCCCCCAATTTAGTTTAATTGTACAGGGGCACTTTTGTTCAATTTGGGGGCTTGGGGCAAAAATGTTACCATCAGACAAGGGCCAGACTAGAGCCTAAGCATCTCAGGCCAGGGCCGGGCTGAGTCCCGTGCAGGGCTTTACTCTGGAGTGTCGCCTCCTTCCCAAGCTTCCTCATCAGTGGCGGCTGGTGAAAAAAATTTGAGGTGGGGCTGTGGCACATTGGCACATCAAACAATTACAGTAAGCGTTGCAATATGAATTGCAATGCAGACATAAGTTTTCTCATCTTATAGTTATGTGAATAATATCAACATTGAAATATTCTTTTAGGAACAAGTATCAAGATTCCTCATGCTCCTCTAGTTGAGGAGCTTGGCGCTGTCCTACAGCAGGAGGCGGTGGGTCCCGTCTCCCACCGAGCCGGGGAAAGTGAACTGCTTGATGTATAGCTGCTTGAGCACTTCCATACATAAACATCTGAGAGGAGCAAAGATGCCTTAGTATGATAACAAATAAATGATCCTACAGTATGTTTGCTGTTCACAGCTCTTACAATGATGGCGAGTGCAATGATGAGCAGTACAGGTAACTGGAGAGTGACTGGTAGATCCTTCAGCAGGGCTCTGAGAAACTCACTGATTCCCTGTCCAATTTGCTTCAAGGGGTCCGTGATGAAACTGGTTATGGTGACTGTGATAGCCTAGAATAAAACCCCACAAATCTATTATTAATGCATTTCACCTCAGGTTACAACTCTCATAACAGCTTTTGGAACAATCAGATATCTGATGAACAATAACAATATAATACACAATATAATAAATATTAAAACTAAACCATTTATATAATATAACTGAAAATGTATGACAAATGCTGACTACTAATCTACTGCTTTTACTGTATTTAAAATTCTACATTTTAGTTTTTGAAGGAAATCTTTTATGTTCACCTCATGTTGTATTTATTTGCTCCAACATACAGTAAAACTAAAAATGACAGTGAGATATTACTATTTTAAAATAACTTTTCAGCATAATTTCAGCACCATTACTCCAGTCTTCAGTGTCACATGATCCTTCAGAGATCATTCTAATATGATGATTTGATGCTCAAGAAACATTTCTTATTATCAGTTTTGAAAACAGTTGTGCTGTTTCATATTTTTGTAAAAACTGTGATACATTGTTTGCAAGATTGAAAGCACTTATGTGAAATAGGGATCTTTATAACATATAAACATAAAAATAACATATGATTGTCTCTACTGTCACTTTTAAATCAATTTAATGCATTCTTGCTGAATAAAATGGTTAATCTCTGTAAAAAGAAAAAGGTTTTGCAATTAGGTTCAGATTATTTTACACTGAATATTTTAATTCAACATACTGAAATGATCAGCTAATTAGTCAGTATCCATTATCCGTCAACCACTATCCACCATCCGTCTCTTATCAAGTTTAAATTTCTGTTGTTGGAAACTAAGATGCAAACCTTTGTTGGAGGCACAAGCAAAATGGGGTTCACCACCAGGACCTCGTAATACTTTTTGCAAGGATCATCTTGAAGAGTCCATGTCTGTCTGTACCACTCTAAATAAACAAGGAGTTACACCAGTTCATCTCAAAATCATTATATGTCATTATTTACTCATCTTAATGTCATCTAAAATCCATAGGCTCTTCAGTGGAACACAAAAGGAGAATTATCAATTATCTTTTTTTCTTTCTTTTGCTTAATTTTACTTTTATCTTAGTGCATTTTTGTTCTCTTTGGAGCTTAAAAAGATCTGTGAAGATTCCTCAAAATTCTAAATTCATGTTCCACATCAAATGAGTTTGGAATGACATACAGGTGAATAAATAACATTAACCACCTTACCTGCCAAATTGTCCTTCCAGTCCAGTTGTTTCAGCCCAGTGCATTTGCCATTGAAGCTCTCCACCTCCACAATGTTCTTCTTGTGTTCTTCAAAGGCAACCTAGCCATGGAGGAATATTTAAACCAATTTAACTCTTCATTGTACAATACAGTGAACACACCTTTCATTACTTCATTGTCATCCATTCAATACTGCTTTAGCTAAACCGTCATGGACAGTCAACAGCACAAGAATAATTACCATATAAAGATGGAACCAGTTCCAGATCAAGCTAATAAAAAAGCAAACAGCAAACATTCTCCTGAACTGGACGAACAAGCAGACCACAGACCAGAGCTCAGTGCTGATTATGGCTACGACAATCAGAACAATCAAAGAAACCTGTAGAACAAAAAACAGCACATATTGCATTTATTATTTCTGAGATTGCTACAAAACATCAGTCTTTTGAAAATAATTTTAATGCAATTATTTAAATTATCTTGGAATGCTTTTACAAGAACTGACCTTCAGAGCGGTATCAGCATCTACATAAAATGTATCTTCGAAATGCCACTTCCAGGCTTCGTGGAGTTTGAATCTGAGCAGAATTTGACTGAGAGCCTCATCCATGGCTCCAGTGGTCCAGTCGTTCTCTTCATTCAAAAGCTTCTGGATCTCCACCAGCGACTGCTTGGACAGCTTCACCTCAGCGTCATAATGCATGGATGTCTGTCCATCATCAGGCTAAAGATTAAAAAAAGGAAAAGTTGTAAAACCGTAACCAATGTAGATTCATGTTGAATCAGTTCCCTGGAGAAAACTCAGTCAGTCACATACCAGGCCAAGTTTTGAAGTTTCTTTAAGGAGCCTGGAAAGGAATCGCTTGAATACTGGAAGACACACTGAGGTGGTGGTCTCCTTTTTTTTCTGTTCATCAAACTAAAAAAAGAGATAGCAATAATATAATATAACAATATGGATATGATTATACAATACATAGTGTCAGTAATTCAAAGTGTTTACATATTCTTCACCTCTTTCTGCAAACTCTCTAGTTTATTGATCCACTCAAATGCATCAAGGTGAGGAAACAGTGGCTGAATTTTCAATTTCAGAGGAACTATCCCTTTAAATTTCATTGTAAACTACAAAGTTCATAAAACCTAAAATACCTAAATATAATTTACAATGCAAAGTTTGAATGGAGTCTATTTTCAATCGGGGAAAATTTTAAAGAAGAGGGATTTAAATGTCCTGCTAGCACTGTAATGCATTAATATCATAGGCGTAATTTGCGGGTGGGACGGGTGGGACATGTCCCCACCACTTTTTGCCAGGGTCGATATTGTCCCTACCACTTTTTGAAAGTAATTGAAAAATATATTGCGGAAGGTAGGCTATATGTATTAAAGGGAAAACAAGATCAACAAATCATTCTTCATAATCTAATTAGGGTGATAAAAAAAAAACTACTTATGCATGCATAACTCGTGCAGTGCAATAACAACGTGATTTGCAACTGTCGCACTTTTCGTAATGTCATTAGGCTATAGCATTTTATTTTAAAAA